AGGTTTGGACAACCAGGAGGGTACTGTGTGATAGGAGCTTGACTAAGTGTTTCACAATACCATCCTGATTAAGCATGAGGTTTCAAAGTGGATTAACCTGGATTTGAGGTGTTACACTACTCTTTACAAACTGTGAAACTTGAGAAGTCAGTAAGCCTGTCTGTGTTCATCTTCTCACCTATAAAATGAGACTAACAGAGATGGGTGTGGTGGTGCAGTGAGTTAAGCTAGTGCCTGAGATGCTTCTATGCCATGTTAGAGTGCTGATTTGAACCTTGACTGTTTTGGGCTTCTAATCCAGCTTTCACCTAATGCATCTGAGGGGCATTAGACAATGGTCCAAGCACTTCATCTCTGCCACCTGCATGGGGAACCCAGGTGTTCTTGGCCTCTGGCTTCAGCTAGCTTAACCTTCTATTACAGGTTGCTTTATCTCTGTATCTCCCTTTCTGTCACTCTAATTTTAAGTCAAGCAACCAGTAAATTTTACAAAGAAAGTAAAATGAGACTAATATTTATCCCTGGGTATGTGTAGGTGGGTCTTGTTTTGAGGCCTTGACAAGATTTCCAAATACTACGATAGTTTTTTGCACTTCTTCTGTGCCCATTATTGCTTGCCATTCCTGCCATGAGAGAGAACAAAGAAGCCATCTTACAATTACCTGCAGAATTCCTCCAGGTGCAGTTGAGATCTGTTATTTGATTGGCAAGGGTGTTTGTTATGAAAAGGCCCAGAACACAATGAACCCCAAGGACCAATATCCTGCTGCCAAAACTACAAGTCAGTAGATTTTAAATTGCTTCAGGATTTGTGAGGGGAATGACTATGAAGAGAAAACATAGAAACACAGAAACACAGAGACACAGAGGCTGGAAAGTCCATGAGTGGAGGAGTGTTGTCCCTGAGAATTTGCAGTGGCTAAACTAGCCAAGAGCTTAGAGTAACAGAGGGGTTGCACATCTGATTCCACATTGTCAGCTTGGTTGCATTGAGTGAACACCCTATGCTGCCAACTTCTCTACACATCCTAAATCTTGCTATAGGTGTTATTAGGCACAAAGGTGGAACATTGTTGGAACTCAAGGCTATCTTCTTTGATGTGAGTTATGGGCATAGATGAGATTCAGAATTTGTTGGAAACGGAATTGGATCAAGAAGTCATGAGAAGAAACTCAAGTCCTGCTTTGCATCCTTCTCTCTTGATTTGATGCCATATGTGGGATGTTATGATATCATTTAACTATGGAACACTAGGATGGACAGTATGCCTAAAAGATGGAGACTCAGCAGGTGGAAGACAAAGGTCATGTTTGTTATTCCCTTTACCTTTATGGTTCCCTTTATCCTTCATGCAGGAGTTGTTATTAACTCCATCTTTTGGGTGAGTGAAATAAGACTGTGAGAGCAAAAGTTTTGAAGAGAAAGGCTCTCTTCCTAGCCCTACCTGAGCCCTTGGAATGGTCCACCAAGTGCTAAGCACAGGGTGTTGGTATGAAATGACATTTGACTGGCAGATATTTTGACCAGGAGTGGGAGGTTTGTTCTAGGACTCAGAAATCCTACAAATAGCAATGATGGCTCTTCTGTGGCTTCCTTGCAGCTATATATACTTCATGTTGTCACTTTAGTGCCTACACACAAACCTACATCTCAGGCTCTTCTCTGCTGCTTTCATTTTATTAGTGGAAGCATTCCCACAGTGTGTAGTACAGGGCTTCTTGGGAAGTATCTGACTTGTGTTCCTGTTCTCCCCAGTGACAAATCACAGGCTTCCTCATAAGAGTTTCTGGAAGAATGGCTGCCACTCTGCGTGGAATATTTTGTGATGACTTTTTTTTCCCAAAAGGTTTGATTTCCTGTGGGTGCCCATCTAAGACATTTTTTTTCTTTTATCAAAGCTGGAAGGACTTTTCCAGTTCATCTAGTATGTTGTGGTTGGATAAAACCCAGAGAGAAGAGAAAACCAGCCTGCTCTCTGTAGTCAGACTTCTCCCCATGTCAACCCATCTTTATCCTTGAATGTATCTCATCTTAGCAGCAAAGCAGGGTTGGCTGGTTAGTACTTGGATAGGAGATTGCATTACAGAAAGCACTAAATGAAGAGAAATCAAGAATCACACACAGCATCTCATTTACACTACATGGTTCAACCGCATCATGCAGGAGAATTCTGACACTTGCTATGCTGTTAACTTTTTGTACGGTCTTAACCAACCCACACTGATTTCTTGGGACTAATGCCTCATGTGTAGAATGTGACCATATGTCTCATAGCTAATATAACTCAAAGGAAGTACGGCAAGGGTTTTAACAAAAGTCTCAGAGGTCTGGTGGAGATTATCACTATAGTTTTAAAAACTCAGTATCTTTAGAGACATTGAATTGTGAAGTTAGGTTTGGTTTTGGATTAATGTGTGCAGTCCAGTCATTGCCCAGATAGGAAGGGATCTGATGAATGACCTGGTCAATGGTCAATGGTCAATGGTTCCCTAAAATTGGTATATCATTGATTCCCATGGTTTGAATACGGTTAAGTGTATTGGAAACTAATCCTCAAGTGTTGAAAATTAATCCTCAATTTGAAGCACTGAGATGGTGGGAACTTAATTCAACTATATTTTAGATGTATGCCTTACACAGTTGGTTAATGCTAGGTAAAGTCATTAGTCTGGAGTCTCCATCAACGGATCTTGATAGTTCTTCTTTTTTTAAAGATTTGTTTATTTTTATTGTAAATTCAGATATACAGAGAGGAGGAGAGACAGAGAGGAAGGTCTTCCATCCCATTGATTCACTCTCCAAGTGGCTGCAATGGCCGGAACTGAGCCAATCCAAAGCCAGGAGCTTCTTCCAGGTCTCCCATGTGGGTACAGGGTCCCAAAACCTTGGGCCATCCTTGTCTGCATTCTCAGGCCACACTCAGGGAGCTTGATGCAAAACAGGACTACCAGGATTAGACTCAACACCCATATGGGATCCTAGGGTGTGTGCAAGATGAGGACTTTAGCTGCTAGGCTACCATGCTGGGTCCTCTGATGGTACTTGTACAAAGAGGCAGAGAGAACAAAGAGACCTATACACATGTGTGCTCCTTGTCTTTTGTCAGCTGATAATGTTTGCTGCCTCAGGAACCTGCTCATACCGATGCAAACACTTGACTTTCCAGAACCACAAAATAAGCCTCTTTTCTTAATAATTATCCAACCTCAGTTATTGCATTATAGTAATGTGCAATGTAGCCTAGAGATGTTTCCTCTTGAAACGAAAATTCAGGAAGCAATATGCAGATTTTATTATACCCATCGTTATCATTAAAACAGAATAGTTCTAAAAGCAAACCAATTTAACTTCCACTTTTACCAATCTCAAGTTGTAAAGAAAGGACTTTTAACACCAAAATACCTAGGAAGTGAATACACTCAGAGAAATGATGACTGTTGCATTAAAAATAATTGGCCATGTGAACAGGAGGGTACATTGTTCTTTCTTCTACTATACTCTTACTCTGAACTGGATAAACTTTATTAAGGAGCCAAAAAGATTAGTTAGAGCCCCATGTTCTTGGAAACCTGCTGTTAAAGTACTCCAACAGAAAAGATCCAGAATGCCTGAGTCCCATTGCCTAATCAAACCCTTGCTAGTTGCTGGAAATCAGGTTCAAGTTAAACATCATCTGTCTCCTTCAGGTAAAGAAAGATTTTCATTTTAGTTGGAAAACTCAGTGAGAGATGATGATATAATTGTGAGATGAGAAAGGGGAAAATTACATCTACTCATTGTGTTTGATTATTGCTATTATTAATTACTATTTTGTGGCAAAGCTCCAGCTGAATGCATGGTACAATTAATCACAGGCACCTACCTGACCCCAAAGTTCACAGTGTTTCCAGTGTAGGGATCAGCAAACTCTGGTTCATGGGCCACATCTCATTTGGTAAATATGGTTTTTATGGAAATGTGGCCATGCTTACTTTGTGAGGAGTCTGTCTGCTCTAGCTGTACAACAGAGTTAACCAGTTAACAGTTAATGGTTCACAAAGCTTAAACTATTTACTATCTGCTATGTTGTGGGAAAAATTTGATTCCTTCTTCATTCTACCATGCTTCTTGGATGCAATGCAACTGCCTACATAGGCATTATAGAATTGAGATCACATAATCAGTAATTACTGCCAAGGTGGAGATATTGTTGATCAAACCGTGAAAGACCTAGATTGCATCTTCATGAGGGACTGTTGCTCCTGTTCCTGAAATCTTTGGGTGACAGATTAGGGAAGGTCTGGCCAAGGTTATCCTGAGCAAATATCAAAATGTGATGCTGTCTGGTTCTGGTGTCTATGGGGTTCCTGGTGTCTATGAAAACTCAACCCCTCTGTACTCTTTTCTCTGAGCTGCCTGGGTATTTAGCTATGCTTCCAACAAGGGCTGCACAGGTTATGGGACTGAATTAGATGTAAAAAAGACACTGGGTTAGAGACATGGATCGCAAGGTGTTGTTTTAGTTCTTATGGTCTTGGAAAAGGCACAGCACTTTCCCTTTCTGGGTCTGTCTTTTCTTCCTTTGTGGAATGAAAATGTGAATAAAATGCTTTCTAAATTGTCATCTTCAGTGTTAATTAAACTCTGATATCACCCCTTGGACTAGCAGAAATGATGTATTAACGAATGACTGGAAATTTGTGGGATGAGAAAGAAGTCTCTTTCTCTCTTTAAGTAATCGACTTCATTATACATTTTGACGCTTCCCAGTTACTTATTTATTGATTACTGTATGATGGTCATCCTGTTGGTTGGGGTGAGCATGTGGATGAGAGTACTGGTCTGGGAATACTCAGATGAGTCAAGTTGCATCAACTCAACCCTGAGCAGTCCACTCCTCCCCCTACTCGTTTTCCTGTTGTATACAGTTAGAGTGATTCTGGTAGACAGCAGGGTACCACTCCTCACCAGGCTATTTGGATGATTCACTACACACTTATTCCCAATTGCAAAGTCTTACCTCCTTTAAGGGGGAAGTTGTTGGGTGGGTTAGGAATGGAGTCCTGGAAGAGAAGAATGAGAATAGTACAATGAGAATGATGTTTAATTGAAACAACCTTCCCCTGCCCGCTTTATGGTTATCCTCAAAGTATTGTGCAATTTGGAATTCACGGCCCAGTTGACTTAGTTCAGAGTGGGCTCCTTATTCATTTGCTTCACAACTTGCTTTTTGGAAACTCAAGATAGGAGTTATTAGCCACATTTATCAGGCAAGGACCATGCAGTTGAGTGGGATACATGACTTGCCCAGGGCCACACAACATGCTTTATAACAGCTTAGATGGAACTCGTGGTTCCTAATCTGTGGCCTTTTTAAAAAACCTTTCTATGCATATTATTTTTTTCCTCTTCAGTCAACACAAGAACATTCCAGTATAATATGTAGGTAAATGTGGTTTTCTTATTCATTTTTGAATCATCAGTGAACATACCTGAAAGGTACATTTTTCTGTTTCTTGTGGTTGGAAAGTATGAATTGAGTATTTATATGCCAAGCACTGTGCATATACCATGAACAATTAAAATGGACTTCTGCCTTTGTGGTTTCATTGCAAGTTTATAGCTGAATATGCTATACAAAAATGCATAACTATGTAACATAAGTGCAAATATGTATTATATATTTATATAATTAGATGAGTTTAAGAAGTTCATGGTAAATGGAATTAAAATAGGTTACTTTGGATGTAAAAATTTTTGCACAATTTTTTTATAATGTGTGTTTTCCATCAAGTCTCTGGAGACCTTCCATGTATATTTAGTGAACATAAACATGCATATACATCAATAGGTACATACATGTAGGTATATACACAAATGCATATGAATATTTACATAAATGAGAAAGAAGTTGACAAAAACAGACTGTTTTCTGCAGGAGGAAGTCTGGGCTGGGTACAGGTTCTCTAAGCAAGCAGTCCACAAGAGCAAAGGGTCAGAGCTCTCCCCTAATACATGCAATCAAATTCAAATCTCTGCCAAAGCCAGAACTTAGCAGCTCCCACATGTTGTTTTTTGAGTGCTTTATGCTTCCCCATTGGGTTCATTAACCTTTCAGCACCATTCTTTGCATTCCAGTGACAGCTTGTTTTCTGGTAAGTAGCGCTCCTCTCTGGTCTGAACTGGTGGCAATGGATCCCTGAAACTCCTAAAGGCAAAGCCCTGGCTTATTACTTACTGGCCCTGGTACTGATTTGGAGATGGGAGAAGCCTACTGAAATACATGGGACTCGGCTTTTCAAGTTAAGGGAGGAGAGCCTTGGTTTGAAATATTCGTCATTCTCTAAATGGTCTGTGATTTTATTGCCTTAGTGGAAAGCTTGCAACCTGACAGCGCTCTAGATCACGGCCTTTCAATTCCACATGCAGTTCACAGGAAAACTTGACATCACAAAGTTCCCCTTTGTGTTGCCTCTGTGAGACAGCCAACGTTTCAAAATCTAATAAACACCCAATTTACTGCCAAGCATGACAATCGATTAGTGTGATATTTGACTGGACAAAGAAAAACATTTACATTTAAATGAGGTGCTAAGAACATTGATTTTCTTAGCTGACCAGTGCTCTATCCAGAGACTAACAAAAACCAGTGCAGTCACCTCAGGGGCAACTAATTGGGGGAAATACCAGCTCATTCAGCATGTGTTAGATGAGCAGCTGTGGCAGGTGTTAGTCACTAGAAGACATCCTGTGGTTTTCATGTTTTAGCCATTAATATACTCATTTAAAAATGCAAGAAATATATAGGACTTCAAGTTATGCTGTGAGCTATGGAGAGGAAGAATCAGAGTCTTAGTTCTCAAATGTGTGTGCCTCTGAATCCCATGAGGGAGCTTTGAAAAATGCAAATTCTGATTTAGCAAAGAAATTCTATTCTGACAAGCTCCCAGGTGATGCTAGTATGTCCTGATGAAACTTAAGTAGCAAAGCAGTACGTGTCGTATAGGGGTGAGGGAAGACTTTTGATGGGAGTAAAAGACCATTTCTTCTCCCTGTCATTCAAATGCTTTCTGGCTTACTAACTTCCAACAAGGCATGCCAAAGGCAAAAGCAAAGTATCTCAGTTTCCCATACCTCCCTTCAGGGCCCGGGAATGAGAAGATGGAAGTATGAAGATACCAATTTTGAAGAGCTCTTTAGCTGATTGTCTATAGCTTCGTCTGACTACTAGGGTAGACACAAAAAAGCCAACTATGCATTTTCCAGTTCACCAAGCTAAATTAAGGAAGAGGAAACCAAAGTATTCAAGATTTAGTAGAAAATCCTGGACTGCAGCTCTCCAGCTTGCTTCTTGCTGCCCCAGGACTGATGCTGCCTTCAAAATCTAAGGCTCTTCCTTGTTTCTTTTCCACAAGTTGACTGCGTTTTGTGGGATGGAGAAGCAAGGGCTGAAGAGATGTGACTGTTAACATTTGCTCAAAGCAGGTTAGACTCCAAAGAGTAGACTGAGTACTGTCCATCAACTCCTCTTTGGTATGGCATCTCCCAGTTTTAGATTTCTCCCTCAGTTTTACCCAGGAATCTGGGTACTGGCTGAGGAAATGTCATCCCTTTTGCTCAGAGACTTGGCTTTCAATAAGGTTGTATCATGGCCAGCATAACAGCTCAATCAGCAAATCCTCCACCTACAAATTCAAGTATCCCATACAGGGGTGCTTGTGTCCCAGCTACTTCATTTATGATCCATCTCCTTGTTTATGGCCTGGGAAAGCAGAGGATGATGGCCCAAAGCTTTGGCAAACTGTATTCATGTGGGAGACCCAGATGAAGCTCCTGGCTCCTGATCTCAGATTAGCTCAGCACCAGTCATTGTGGCATTTGGGGAATCAACCAGCAGGGAGAAGATCTTATCTGTGTTTCTCCTTCTCTCAATAAATATTCTAGTCCAATAAAAATAAATCTTAAAAAAGACAAGACAGAATCTACGATTGACCCACGTGCATGCAAATGGACCCTCTGGTTGCCATTGTCTGCTCTGTGAAAGTTCTTGGTAAACTTCCTAATGGCCACCAAACTTCATTTCTTAAGCGCACTCTCTGATTGTACAGCCTTTGTGGATACATGACAAGTATGTATAAAATGCTTAAGTTCCTTCTGGTTACAGAATGAGGAATCTTTGATCTTTTTATGCTTAAGGAAAATGACGCCCATCTCAATCATCTTTCCTACCTAGAACTATCTTCTTTCCTTGTATCACTGCAGTTGGAGGGATTGATAATACTCCCTCCATTGAGAGGTTGTGAACATAAGTAGGATACTTCATATAAAATTTCAGTGATTGGAAATGGTAGTTATTGTTGAGATTGCCTTGATTCTAATGGTGTGTTTAATGCAGCCCAAAACCTTGAAAAGTTTCACAGAGGAGCACTGATGGGGGAGGTGCAATCATCTCCTTTTGGCACAAAATGCTCACGGTAGATTGAAATTATCAAAGACAAATGAAATGTACAGGTTTCAGGGTGAATTTCATTTTCCTTTCCTCATTGGCCTCCAAATTGTCTTAAAAGGTGGGCTCTGATTTGTGGTGCTTTGGGACTTATTTTCATGCTACCATGATTAAATGATTAATGAAGGTTACTCTTGAAACTAAATGTTTCATATGCTTTATCTTATTTGGTCTTTACCTTGATCTTAAGAGTAATGGATACATGAATATTTAAGAGAAGTGACTTATCAGGTGGTTTTACAGATGTTGAATAGCCTAGGGTAGGCTCAGACTTGGACCTGTTGACTGTCAAAACAATGGCCTTTGATCACTAGCTATATAACACCTCTCTAGATTAGGGGAGGATAAAACTGTGTAGAAAATTCTCCTGAGACTTAGGCTAGTGAATGGAGGGCACAGGAAACACTTAACAAAAAGACTGTTGTTCCTGGGAGCACCTGCTTTGGCATGGTTTGCAATAAGGGAATGGGGGACCAGAGAGGTCTGAATCATCGCTTCTTCTCTTTAAAGGACTCACTGTCTCCTGGAGATATTGAAAAAAAAATGCAGATACTGTTTCAATGAGTCAGGAATAGGCCCTGAGGACTTGCATTTCTAATGACTTTTTAGATGATGCCAGTGTCTGTGGATATCACATGACATTTAAGCAAGGACTTAGCAACAGGCAATCAGAGCACGTGAGGTCTTCAAAGACTGCTGAAGAAGGATGGCTGTGTGGTTGGGAAATCTGCCTGGTCTGTAGGCTAGAATGGCATCTTGCCCTCTCACTTCTTCTCTCAATGCCATCTAGTCCTGCTTTCTGCTATTGCCCTGTCTAGCGTGGACCAACTTCCATTGTGGCCCCACCCCTCCCCTCTTCAAACTGGGATTGATTTTCTCTTAGTTGAACATCTGTTTGCTGTTTTGTCTCACTTGGATCACCTGCCTTGCTTTCACCCACCCCCATTCTGCAAATAGAGCACTCATTTGAGCAGAAGAACTCCAACTAATGAATGTGGAAAAATAATAGAGTTAGGTACTTGTTCTTCCTCAATCTCAGTACATGGAGCCAAGGATCAAGAAATGTGAGAGCTGCTGAGTTGAATGCTTATGACTCCAGGGTATAACTCCATAGTATACTTACGATAAGAAGGAAAAAAAATATAACCAGTCATCATCTTAATTAAGTGATTGCATATATTATCTGCACAGAAAGGACAATCTGACATATGCTTCTAGTTGTGCTATAGTAAGAACTACATCACATTACTAACCCAGATTACTATTAACCCAGATTTTCATCTGAATATGCTGATGAGTAAATATTATAAAAATCCAGAAGATGAAATCTTCTATCACAGAATTGGCCTGGAACCTGCAAAGCAGTCAAGGTCATGCAAAACAAACAACAAAGGTCAGGGCAGATTCAAAGAACTCCTCAAAGTGCAGATCACTTGGGAGCTTGTGAAAAATACAGACTTTGATTCAGGCAGTCTGGTATGGGCCTGAGGTTTAACATTTGTAACAACTGTCCAGGATCATCCTTTAAAGGGCCATGTTCTAGATTTAAGTAGATTGGATCATAGTACATAATGCAATACACAACTCTTGGTTGGAGTCTGGATCCAGCAACACAACAAAAACCAATAGATACAGAAGGTATTTTTGAAAAAAACGGAGAAATTAAAAGATGTGTTGTCTATGAGCGGGGCTTCAGGAGATTCAAATGGGAACCATTATCTGCAATACCTTTTTGTATGGACTTGTTGAAGTTCTCTCATACTGTTATTAGATAATATGACCACATTCACCCAAATTCTGTTGACCACTATAATGGCTTTATGGTAAGTAGGAGATGGATATTGAAGGCCATGTTGATGAAAGGCCATGCTATCCATCACATACGTTGTCATGCGGATGTAAAGACAGTATCACGTGACATGGAATATTGACGCTTGGCCGATCTAGGCTAAAGCTTATGCACATGCATAGCATTCTACTCTTTTATTATAGGTTTAAACACTTTCAAAGCAGTGATGTGAGTTAAGACATGTTTCACATTTTTAGAGGAATGGATTCCATCACTCTTCCATAAACAACTCTCCCATCTTCAGGAGAAATTCCTCTGTTGTCTGGTCTGGGGCATTTTTCCCAGGATCTGAGCTCCTCCACCCATTTAGGTCTTCCCTGCACAGCCTGGCTTGGGACTTGCTCATGTGAAGATTCTCAGTAAGATTATTGTTGAATACATGTCAGCCATATAGAATAACTGGTGGAGGGAAGCATCCCAGGGTATTTCAACTCCTCCATATGTTGCATCTGAGTTTATGAATTTCCTAAACCACCACCATCAATCACTACCATAAACAGCCTCGCTATTGGTGGGGGAGTTAGAATATTACTATCATGTGCATTTTTCTTTTTAAAATAGAATGTTCTTTGCTCATAAATAGAAAAGATTTAGTAACATTCTCTGTCTTTCTAGAAATGGTATAGCATCCTTAAAAACTTTGAGATCCTGTGCCCTTGTTCTCATCACTTGGAATGGAACCATTCACATCCTCTCCTTTGTCTAGCTAAATGTAGCCTCTTGGAATACAGAACAGATGTGTCTCTAGGGTTGAGGGCATGAGATCGTTTGTGAGCAAAACACCTGGGAGCCTGTCTAGTATTATGTTGGATGCATTCCTTAGTCTCTCAAGGAAATAAATTTTATTGCTTTTTTTTCTTTGCTGTGTCAATTGTGTGGAATTTCCTCTTGATTTGGTTGCAGACTCTTCGAGCCTATGTCAGTGCATGTGCACTTGGGCTTACTTAGTGACTAGCTGATTTTCTTCCTTTCCACATCTCTGTGACCAGGCATCTATTTCATGGTGGGACTTCTACTTTCTAAGGGGTTTATTTTTCCAATCTTTCTTGGAGGTTTAGTCATAACTTTTACTCAAATTCATTAGGAATTTATCCCATAAACACACTTATAGATGTAGCTAGAGGGCAAAAACTCTACAGAAAGTATAAGTGTCTCTTACTAGGCAGAGATAAAATAAATTATAAACCATTGAGTCAATAGCCCACCATGCAACTCCTCAAAAGAATGAAGTGGACTGCTAAGTCTTGACATAGCAATATCACAAAGTCAAATTATTAAATGAACAAAGCAAGGTTTAAATTCCAGGCTTATTACACTTATGTGTGTACTATGACCTGATTTCTGGAAATATAGATAGCTACCTGTTCACAACTTGCAAAATCAGTGAAGACCGACAGTGGTTGGGCACGCATATGTGAAACACTTTTACTTTTCTTTTTGTTCTCTTATTTGCTGATTACTTTTCTTAAATCATTCAATTGCAATATTTCATAAAAATAGAGTTCATTGTAAACATTAGTAAAATAAAATACAACCATTGCCGAAATTTTAAAGAAATGACTAAAGCTTCAGTTCCACAGGAAATGCAAGAGGGGAGATTTTGTTGATGTGGTTCAAGGGTCCACAGCCCGTGCTTAGATTCATATCCTGTCCACAACAGACATTCAATAAATGTTGGAGTGGCCTCTTTTGTCTCTCCTAGTGAGTTAAACCTTGCACCTTTCTGACCTTGAAGGCAAGTTTCAGGGCATTTTTGCTGGGGTCTTGTGTACCCATATTTTCTCTGAGCTTTCACTTACTCTGTTCCACCAACCGGGAGAGCCTTCTTCTTTGCTCTCCCCTCTCCACCCATTCTTGAGCCCATCTGAACTCCAGTCTCTAATGAAGTTTTCTTAAAGCCAGCTGATAAAATGCTCTCACTTGTTGATTTGTGGCCTTTTGGTAGCCCTTTGTGCCTATCTTATTTATGTTATATTTAACCAATATAGACACTTTATCTTATTTTTTAAAAAATGTGTGACCAATCCATACCACCCATAGTAACATATCCTGATAGATTCTCTGCAGACACCAACTTCCTAAAACGACCAGCAGTTTCTTTCGTGCTCTCATCTGTTTTCAGACACAGATCTTACCACTGCCTTCCAACAAAGCCAAGCTCCAGGCACAGTTTGACCCGGCAGAGCGTGCACTTCAGTGGCACTTTGCGTTCTCAGTTGTCCCGCAGGCAGCAGGCGCTGAAAGTACTTCTCCCTTCTGCCTCTCTACTTTGTGCCTCTGGTGCACCCCAAGCTCTTGAAAGCCCTGGCTTGCCAGGAAACTTTCGGTTTGTCTTGCGAGCTTTAACGCTGAAATGCCCACAGCTCTGGGGCAACACTTTCTCCCTAGCAAAGTTCCTCTGCAACTTATCTCCTAGTTTAAAAGAAAGAAAAATCTTCCTGGCGGTGGAGGAGGCCTTGGGAGCACCTGTAAGCAGAGTTTAAAAAAAAAAAAGAAAAGAAGAAAAAAACCTTCTGTGTCTCCCTGTTGGTCTTCAAGGCCTCATCAGCTGTGGGTGCAAACACATGCTTAGAGTTCTTGCTTAAATTTGGGTCCCTGGCTCAGCGCCTCAGGGTCAGTAGTTCTTTTGTATTCTTTTGGCAGATCTGGAAAGTTTCGAGATACTGATCCAACAATGTGTCTCTCAAAAGCCAAGTTATTTCACAGAGTTCACTTCCTATTTCTTTTCTCCTCTCTCGACCACATAGATAGCATGCACAGATATAATTATATATATCCGATTTGATTGTGTCGTAGGCATATTACATGCCTGTTACTTTTTGCTCTCTACCAATTTATAAATTGGTCCCCAGCTCGCACCCTCTTGCAGATGCTGGACTGAGCTAAGGAAGAGCAAGCCGGAGGAGTTCACTTACCGTCCTGCGTACCACCAGCACCATGAAGCTTGCCACAGTGAAGACGAGAACCAGAGCCAGCGTGGCTGTGGTGAAGCAGAGGTAGCCCCGGCTTGAAGGTCCCCAGGGACCAGCAACAGGAACCGCCGGCACGTGCATGGCCTGCATGGCCGTGGCTGCGGGAAGGGGCCCTCGCGGGAATGGCTGTTGCAGCCCTGGGTCCATCCTTTATATAATCTTACCCACATCACACCTTATCTCTCTTCATCTGATTCGATTCTGGGCCCAGTTCTGTTCCAAGAAGGATTTTCCCCCTGCATCCTGGATCATGTGACTTGGAAAAAAAAAAAAAAAGCCTTCACAGGCTGCTGCCTGGGCCAGAAACTCCTCTCCGGGGGCGTGGGGTGAAAGGCGGCGGCAGGGGTGGGGGAGAGGCTCATTTTTCATAGCCAGGGATTAATTCGGGTGCAGAGACTCTGCCGCTACAGAGAAAGTGGCTGATGTCACAGGGTGTGGAGGAAAGTGACGGTTCCTCTACGCGAGTGTGTCTGTGCGCAAAACCAACTTCTGCTTCCTTGAGACTCAGCTCAAAAGCTGCTTCCTGCTGCACTAGTGGCTCGTTCCCTTTGGCAAGGTCCGCAGCTCAGAGGACCTCCTGTCGGGGGGCCTCCCGCTGGATTCCTCCCGCTGCCTTGCAATGACTCCAGAGAGCTCACTTGTACAGATTGCACCTGCTGACAACTGGAAACAGTGTCGGTTTTCTAGGAAGGAGGAACTCAGAATTTCCCAAAGGGATCAGGCAGAATGAAACATAAGGGCAGCTTTAGAGGCTGTTAGACAGCAGGCATCTAGAGAGATGGATGTTTTCAGCAAGTATCCTTGTAGTATGTTTGAATCTCAGGTACCAGGCCTGCTTTGAAAAGGGAAAGGAATTAGTAAGTGACAGTAGGGGAGAGAGACAATGTGGTGTGGCATGCAGGATGTGTGTGTGTGTTCTGCATGGTATGTGCTGTTTGTGTTGTGTGTTCTATACAGTGTTCATCTGCAGGTTGTTTGTGTGGTGTGTATTTGTGATGCGTGAGGTATGTTGAATGTAGTATGATGTGTGTTATGTGTGAGTGTGAGAGTGTGTGTGATTCCTGTGTTTGAGCTCCAGCTCTCTCAGGCACAGTGCGGCAGTGGCCTCAGACACTTCACCCTTTGAGGCGGGTGATATTTCCTCTGTGCAGATGGGAAAATTGTGGGCAAGAGAGATTGGAAATGGATCCAAACAACGTCACAAATGCTGCTGCATGAAAGAAGTCTTGTTGTGTATCCAAACTTTCTTGGCTCCCGAGGCCCGTGCCTGTTCATTTAAGCCTCATCGCCTGTGAAGACAGGAAGCTTGAAGTCTGAGCTCAGCCCTTGCTGCAGTCCGCCTTGGGTCCTTGTACCCATGTGCGTTACAGTCATGGCGAGGAAGAGATGCGATGATGTAAGGGTACTCCATGAATGGGAAGAGACTTGGCAGCCAACATGGAGCAATTCCTGTTAAACATCCTAGAGAGGGCCCCTGGCCAAGGTTCGTTAGCTAGTTTCCCCGGGGGCAGAGCTGAGTCACTTCTGTGGTTACTAATGATCTGTGTATCAGACACCATTCAAAGTATTAATCAATGCAGAGCTGCTGCCTCCAGATGTGGGTCTTTGAAAATTACACTGTCTCCCAGCAAGTAGCCCAGATTGGACAGCACTCCTGCCCTTTCTGGCTCTCCGGCTGGGCGGTGGTGGTGGTGGTATACCTCTAGCAATTGAAGGCGAGCTCAGCAACCCCCTAAGGAACCGTCTCATGTTCAACGCCAGGCTCATATTGTCACTGATACTGTTATTGTGTCACCTGAGTTAGGTCAGATTTTTTTCAGAATTGATCTGGACAGCCCTTCCTGGTGACTCTGTAAAGTCACAGAATCTGGAGATGGAAAAAGCAGTACGAGTTGAAGTATTTTCTTGGGCTAAATGGAGTGATAGATGCCATGCCCACTTTAGAGCCAAGCAAGTTGAGGCCTTCTTGATCCCAAATGAAGCTTTGTTTTGGAAGAAGTGTCCATGCACATTCCATGAGTTGTGTGGCTCCTTTGGGGAGGAGACTGTTTTCTCTGGTAGGCATGGGCAGTGAGTGGGCAGCGGGGGTTCTGTGATCTGCCCAGAGCTGCTGAGAACAGCCTGTTCCCTTGGCCCTCTTGGTTCAGCCTCTTTGATCGAAGTGGAAAACTTCTGATTGTTGAATGGAAGCTGTGAGTGTTGAAAAATAAAAGGCTTTGCTTGAACTTCAGGTCTTGCTGAAGGCCTGTGGGGCTGAGAAAGGCAGTGGAAAAAAATGTTTGTCTTACAGTTACCCATTTTGCATACAGTAGTACAATGTCCTGGGAGGGAAGGCTGACAAGGGGAAAAAAAATCACCCTCTGTTTTTACTCAGAACCTTCTGAGCAGTTGAGATTTTTGAAAGAAGCTTCTAGGAGTTTGTCAACTCCATCTCACTCCTATTGTAGCAGCACTTCTCCAGTCACAAGCTTTCAATGGCTCCCTACGTCCTACACCCCTCCTTCTAGACATCTGTCTGCTTACCTACTGTACCTGACTCCAGCCCAGTGTGTCTAACAGCTCGTCCATTATGCTACTTGGAGGATTTTTTTGGGGTTTTTTTTGCACTGAGATGGTTGCAGATTCTTCTCAGAGGCAAAGCCATGTAGAGAGTATTAAAGCTTAAGAAATCAGTGCTATTGTGGCCGGATGGATCCTTCTCAACCCCTCCTTACTGGCCTGAGGACTCCCTAAAAACAACAAAATCTAGAAAGCTGTGATTTAGCCTGTATCTATCATTCCTTAAGAGAGGAAACCAAGACACTGACAGATGGAGGACGCGAGGGAGCTTGCTTGGAGAAGGCAGACACAGGCATGGTGCTCTTTCTTCAAATTCCTACCTTCTGCGAATGCTCAGACCCATGTGGGATCTTCTGTTGCTTTCTGAATCCGTTCAACTGCTTCAAAAAGTCTGTCCTTCCAAGTCTTTGCTGGCCTCTCAGACCTCCTCCAGGAAGCCCTGCATGTGTCTGATGAACCTGTCACTATCCTCTCTCTCGAGCTCTATCTCTATACCACCTGACTTATTTTAAATCTTTATTAGTTATCTGCTTCTGTTGGCATGTAACTGTCAAATGTGCAAACACGTGTGCATTTTGTCTCCCTTCCATCTCTAAGACTAAGGGTTCCTGAGAACACTTTGTCAAGTCTTCTGATGACTTGTGTTTCGTCCTGCTTCCCTTGGTGCTGGGCCTATGGATGGTCAATCGTTAATCAAAGTTTGTATTGACTTGGTATTGATGGAGAAATTTCTAGAAGAGCAGTTTATACAAAGGAATCATGTGATGGTATTTCTGCCTCTCATATCTCAGCTGTCCGATTCCCCTGTACTTCTCAAGATGAGTGATCTGATTGCCCAGCAGCCGGGCTCTGCGAGGGTGGCTTCCAGTTCCTTTCAGCCTGGAATGAGTGGCCGAGGTACAGTTGCAGCACCTAAGACTAGATGGGCAAACTAATGTCTCATTCCCTCAAGAGGGAACTCTATTTTGAGCAAACCAAGAGGAACCAGTGATAGACTTCTCTCCCCAGCATCCTACACACAGCTCTGTGTAATCTCTCATACAGGTTATGTTTCTTAAAGTTTGGTTCCTGGATCACACTGCCACCAGCCACAATAGCAACATCTGGGAACCTGGTAGATCTTCAATTCCCACTCAAGCCGCTGAATCAGAAACTCCGGCTCAGCTCTGATAATCTGTTTTTATGAAGCACCCTGGAAAATTCTGATTCTTGAAACCACCTGAAAACCACCGGTTTAGGGAAATAACCTGTCTAACTTCCATAAAGAAACCCCAAGAAATGTCATCTGGTCCGGATTCTGGACCTTTAGCAGATGAACCCCATGGCATAGATGAGAAAGCTAAGGCCTAACGAAGTTACTGTCCAGGTTCACGAACTGAATAAGGTGAAGTCTAGTTTTTCTCCCTCTTGGTTGAACTCTCTTTCTAAACTCAATTATGGCTGTCATAATTTTATTATAGTTAATAAAATTACAATTTTATTCATAAAGTTCTCTTATATTTGCTGTGCATGGTAGAATTATATGTATATGAACACTGGTGTTGTGAGATATCCCACTCCCCCAGGACATATCCAAGCAACAAAATAAGCAACTAAACTCCCTTTGAGGACTGGTCATCCTGTCGCATTATGGCAGAGTCCCTAATCTTTTTTCTTTTAAGATTTATTTATTTTTATTACAAAGTCAAATATATATAGAGAGAAGAGGCAGAGAAAAAAGATCTTCTGTCCCATGAGTCACTCCCCAAGTGACCGCAACAACCAGAGTTGCGACAATCTGAAGCCAGGACCCAGGAGCTCTTCTGGGTCTTCCACATGGATGTGGGGTCCTAAAGCTTTGGGAAGTTCTTGACTGCTTTCTCAGGCCACAGGCAGTGAGCTGGAGGGGAAGTAGGGCTGCTGGGATTAGAACTGGGGCCAATATGGGAGCCCAGTGCGTGCAAGGTGAGGACTTTAGCTGATAGGCCACTGCACTGGGCCCAGAGTTCCTAATCTTGTTGGGGTTTCTTGAGAAAACTGGATGTTGGAGTTGAGCCATAATCACATTTCATTGAGAGACCCAGTGCGAACAGGTGCAGTGTAGAGGGAAGGTTTAGAACGGGGTTTGGAAACTGTGGTCCATGAACCAATTACAGCAGCCACCATTGTTTTTATTAATAAAGTTTCCATTAATGAAGTTTTATTGAAACATGGTTATACCCAGATTTTAATGAATTGGTAGTGGCTGTGTTGTCACTACAGTAGCAGAGGTAAGTGGCTGTAAGAGATATCATAGCTCCCAGCGTCTATTTTTTTTTTTAAACTTTACAGGAAATGTTTGTTAACCTGTTCTTCAAAATGTTAACATTAACTCAAGGCAGGAAGGCAAACAGGATTTGGGGAAGAGAATAAAAAGTTTTGGTAGGCTTTTCACAAAATCTTTACCAAAATCTATATTGCCAAGGATTGCACAATTGTTCAATTGGCTAATCCTGCAAGTATCAACTGCAAGTATCAGCATCCCATATAGGTACTGGTTCTAGTCCCAGCTGCTCTACATCGCATTCAACTCCCTGCTTGTGGCCTGGAAAAGCAATAGAGGACAGCCCAAAGCCTTGGATCCTGCATCCACATGGGTTACCCAGAAGAGGCTCCTGGCTCCTGGCTCAGCTCAGTTCTGGCAGTTGTAATCATCTGGGGAGTGAGCCAACAGATGCAAGATCTTCCTTTTTTCTTTCTCTCTGTAATTCTGCCTTATAAGAATAAATAAATCTTTTTTTTCAAAGATTATTGCTAAAAAAAAGATTCATATTGCTAACTTATGCTTTCACATGAGAAAATGCTTTTTGAGATTTCCTCACTGTAGAGAAGTTGTCTCTCCTGGTGGCT